TTACAGCGAACGAAAAGTTTATTATAATATCAAAGTGATAGCGATGACTACTGATAATAATAATAACAAGGTAATTTGGTATTACAAATACGAACAATTTCTTTCGTATGTCTCATACTAATCAAACAGCTTTACCATCGTAAATTACAAAGAAAAATATGTTCCGATTCTGTTAGCAACGAAACCTAACTTCTGCAGCCTAGACGTGAAAATTCAGCATTTAGCTCTTAAATCATTATGCTTATTATTTTTTTTTTTCAATTTATAAATTTATCGTATTATGTACACCTATTACCGGTACCAGTCGAATAAAAACATTATACTGAACTAATAAAAACATTATACTGAACTAATAACAACTTTATTTTTAAGTAGTATACTTTCAACAGTAATAATAAGCCTTTACAAAAAAATTGTAACACCAAACAATTGCCTTATGCGTGGTAAATCAAATGATTGCTGCCAGCAGGTTCATTGCTGTGTTCTTGAGTTAGGTCTCGTTGCTAACAGAATTTTTCTTTGTAATTTACAACGGTAAAACGGTTTGATTGGTATGAGATATACGGAGAATAACGATAATAATAATAATAACAATTATAGAGTAAGTATCGTATACGTTATCACACTTTAGCTTGCATTCTAGACGCCTTCCAAGTTCGCTCGATTAAGTATAAAATTAGACTGACTAGGTTTTATTAGTGCTGAGGTGCTGAGGTGCTGAGGTGCTGAGATGCTGAGGTACTGAAATGCTGAGGTGCTGAGATGCTGAGGTACTGAAATGCTGAGGTGCTGAGGTACTGAGATACCGAGCTGAAAAGATCTTGTTTACCATATATAGAACGACCAACATTAAATAATACTGTATATGGTAATGAATTGCATCTCACATCGCAGGTTCTCAGGTTCTCAGGTGCGCTACTGCTCTACTGCTCTACTACTCTACTGCTCAGGTTCGCAGTTTTTGTCATTTTTGTACCTGGGGTACACCGTATCTTATACTAGTGTTAAAGCATTCTTATACTAACTATTCCTTTTTATTTCTAGCTCTTAAATTAACCTTCAATCCACTACATTGGGTAGCCATATGATGAGCATACTCAATCTCTTTATCTGGCTCACACAACTCAACCTCAAACTTCGAAAACAACAAGATCAGAAAAGTCTTGATAACTTTTTCAGCCACAGCTTTACCTGGACACACCCTTACCGTCCCACCAAAAGGTAGGAACGTTTTTGGGTTTATTTCATCCTCCAAAAACCGCTCAGGCCTAAACGTTTCAGGATCTTTCCAATACGCCGTGTGCTTATGGATGCCTATATGGTTTATTCCAAATGCTGTGCCGGCCCGCCACTTGTGCCCAGCAATTTCATCGTCTTCAGAGGCTATTATAAGCACTATCGGAACTACGGGAAGCACACGAGCGGCCTCTTTCATCACCGCACTGGTGTACGGGAAAAGCGTGACAATAGAATCATAAGAAAGGCTGTGGCCTTCGGAGGAAAGCGTAGCATCGATTTCGGAAAGCAGGTGAGCTTTGACGGCTGGGTATTTACAGATGTAGTAAATCGTAAAGCAGAGGGCGTTTGTTGTCTAGTACAGGAAGAGAGTAAATGGGTACCAAGTGAGAACAGATACAGCATTTCTAACAAGCGTGAGGAATTACTTGCCCTGAGCCGACGATGGTAATGGATCGAATATCATATTACTTACTGTATCAATCCCAGCCAAAAACGTTTCAACAAGTAGTTGTGCTGTTTCTTCTTCAGTTAATTGTCTTTCAAACTCACTTGACTTGATCATATTCGTATCTTTTTCGGTATTTATGGTCAGTATCAAAGATAAGAAATCGGTTCTCAACTCTTCCTTCTCGCTCATGCTTTCGATCTCTTTCTTTCTTTCATTCATAATATTTTTATCTCTTCTGTAAGCCAACCATTCTCTCTCTTCATCCGTTCTGCAGTCTGTCTAAAGCCCGGGACATAGTGTCTAAAAAACGGTGGAACGACGGCAAAATATTTGAGAACCTCAACAAAGGAGACAAGATGAGACGTGAATTTCGAATACGATTGGATGGATGATTGAGGAAGAGATTTTTTGAGGTGCGGAGGAAGGAGAGAGTTGAAATATGTAGAGAGAGCGTAAGTTTGTTGACCAGTAAGTATTCGTACTTGCGTGTCTACAGAGAGATGATGAAGCCATTTGGTGAATTCTAGAGAAGCACTATCGCCAAGTTCCTTCCAATATTCTTCTACTTCTGAAAATAGTTTCTGTGTAGCATGAACAGTTTCTTTCATATATTTGGTCGAAGTTATGCATTGCTTGAAAACCTTTCTATACAACAACCAAAGATGTCGTTCCTTGGTCCCGGCCAAGCCCTTCGTTAAGCCCAACTCCTCCCATCCTTGACTCGTAGATGTAATCCTGATAAAATAGTTGGATTTAACCGACTGCGTAAGCATTTTTTCTGCTAGATCAACCCTGCTCAGCATTATAATACGCTTATTGATGAGATAAAATTCAAAGACGTCGCCATATCGTTCGTGCATCTCAGTGTAAAATTTAGGTGCATCTCTCCACATTTGATGGATGTTGCCGATCATAGGAAGAGGAATAGGACCAGGAAGAGGGTTTTCTCGGTTGATGTAAGAGATGTAGAAATTGATTACATATAGAAGAATGACGGTAAAGAGAATATGGGGAAGATATGAGAAAATTATTGGAATTAGAGCAGTTAATTGCGTATAGAGTGACATTTTGTGATATTAGCTGTCATAGTAAGCGTTAATAGTACAGTGTATTTATTTATTTTTTTATCGCTCTAATCTTCTATATTTATGCTTACTTCTTCGGTTACTGATTTTGCAGATCTTATACTTTTATCATACACGATTGCTACCATGTGATGCATTGTGTTTGAGAATAATCATATTATCAATCCGTCTATTAAAATAATATTCGATAAATGTATTTATTAATTGTAAACATGTGTAACTCTGGTGTGACTCTTGTGCGATTCCTGTATAACTTGTTTTCGACGAAACAATACAAACACAATACAAAAAAATTTTGGGATTTCGATTTTGAAAGTTTTTCGATGAAGAGTGAAGTTTTTGATCCTTGATTGTTAATGTGGCTTGTTGAAATTGTATTTAATAAATAGTCTTTTATTAATACCGAATACAATATTAGATTCAATGTACTAACTAATCAAGTATCGACATATTATTTATGCTTATACTTTTTAGTCTGAAGATAAATTACTAATTGGTTCTTCTAATCTTATCCGTCGTTTTCATATTTGGAATTTGTATTGATTATTACACCTAAAGTTGTACTACATGTCGGATGTGTGTAACATTTTTCTAAGTGCCTCCGAATAGTCAACAGGCCATAAAACTCTGCTACCAAAGAAAGTAAAAGCCCCGTGTGTATTGGAGAGAATATGTACTGTATGATGTATGTTATGTAATCTATTTTTTACATAAGACTTTCGACATCATTACGGTCACATTTCCAGGAAATGGGTTGCTGCATTTGCTCGCGTTAATATTAAGGCAATATAGTAATGATTAATATTAGATTTAATAGTGCAAATTGTACGAATTATGAGTATACGTAAAATGGTAGGGAGTAAAGTGAGAATATGTGACTAGGGAGGAAAGAGGGTGACGGTGACGTCTATTGCTGTAGTACTAAGGGTTCACAGTACAGTGAACGAGACGCAATAGAGGTGTGCATGTCTTTTTTGTCGATTGAATAAACCATGTGCATTCATCATATGCCGACTTATTGCCATTCATAAATAAACTTGTTTTCGTAATACACATGAATATTATTATTGCGCACTATGTTGGTTAACCCATACAACGATTCGGTGAGTTAACCCAAATTTGGAGTGGGTCAGAGCGTTATATACTGTAAATATATAACCTTTGAAACGAAAATTATTTATCCAACAACTTCTTATGTCATTGTGGGTGCATTTAACAACTTTCTCAGCACTATTACATTTACTAATATCCTTACCGGGTTGCTGTCCCTAGTATGCATATACGTAATATACTTCTATTATAAACACTTTACCCGCCCTAATCCACTTCCAGGCCCAATCCCATTTCCATTGATCGGTAATCTTTCGTTTTCACTGAAGACATCGACGACTGGTATTGGAGATCAAATAAAGAATACGGACACAATGGCATATTCGAATTAAATGCTGCTGGCAATAGACAAATCGTTATCACTCGCGCGGAATATGCTAGTGCTCTCTGGATAACAAGACGCATATGGTGAGGACCCCAAATAACGGTCTGTTGGGTTTATTTGACTTCGACAAGAAAGAATTGGGGATGAATCATGATTCCAATATTTGGAAATTCAACCGTCAAATTTTTTCGCACGCTATCATGCCATTGAGTGTTACCGGGAAAGCAAACATCATTATAAACCAACTGTGTGAAGAAATGATGCAACATTGGATCAACTTGAAGCAGCCAGGTGACAAAGAAACTGTTATCAATATCGCTGCTTGGATGCGGCACTTTACGGCAGATTTCATAGCTGTTTTCACAGCTGAAAAGCGAATGTCTTTTATGAAGTACTATTATCAAAAGCTAAAGAATGAACCGCTCACCGAAGAGATACTCGATAACGAAAAGTTTATCGAAAGTATACTGAATTTTATGTCAGATAGCCATTTTGTGTTGGTACCAAAACTTTTAAGAAACTTTCCGTTTATCAAACCGCGTGTGAACAGACTGTTGAATAATTGTGACCGGTTTTACAAAAAACTGGTGAACATTATTAAAGAAAGAAGAAAAGAAATTGAAAAGGAAATTATGAATGGCAAACTTAACACGAAACAGATAAACTTGCTGACATCTTCAATCATCAAGAAAGAATTGATCCATCATTAAAAAGACCAATGACTGATGATGAAATTCGTGGCCTCATGGTTGATGCGTATGTTGCCGGTACAGATACGGTGAGTAGTAATAATACAGTGTAAAAAACCATGTACTGCTTCAATTTAATTTGTTACTAATACCTATTATTTATCAAATTTTTTCAGACTTCAAATACTTTTTGTTACGCATTATATTACATCTCGCACCATCCAGGAGTTAAAAAAAATTGCTGAAAGAGATTGAAAAAGTGTTTGAAGATGACCCAGACAGGCCGATAACATTAGATGATGTTACAAAATTAAAATACACTGAAGCGATTGTTAAAGAAACGTCAAGGATGAGACCTACGCTTGGCTTGCTCCCGAGATAAGGTAATCCATCCAACGGAGTAGCAGGATACATGTGGCCAACCAAAATGTACTTTATAATGTACGTCCGTGGAATCCACAACAATCCACGTTATTGGAAAAATCCCGATAAGTTTATCCCAGAAAGGTTTTGTGAGTCTCAAGAGATACATAATAATTCTTTTTTAATGTTTGGTGGAGGACCGGGAATCTGCCCAGGCAGAGGAATTGCAGTTCTTCAATTAAAAATGTTATTGGCCACTTTTTACAGAAAGTTTGATGTCGAATTGGTAGATATGCAAGCATCTTTAAAAGTAAGAACTGCAACAATCACAACTTGCGAAGGGCTAAATATTAGACTTGTTCCTAGAGAAAAGATTTACTAAATTAACTAACTAGAATTGTCTTGTATTGCCGGTCGATTTTATCGGTTTGCTTTTAGCGATTATATGTTGGAATTGAATGTATAGTAAACATTCGTTTATAAGTGCTGCGTTAAAGTTTATTATTTAATCGATATTGTTACGGTCGGCAATTGTTTGGTTGGGAGAGCCAATTAAATCTTTAATGTAGGCGTGTTCACCGACCAGGGAG